CACTGTCTCTTCAGTCCCTGCATGGTCCCTTTAAATATTTTTGTTTGGGGGCCATACCTAGCTTTGCTCAGGGCTTACTCTTAACCCTGTCCTTGGGGATCACTACTGGTGGTTTGGGAAACCGTCTGTGGTGCTGGGGATCAAACCCCAGTTGGCTGCGTGCAAAGCCAGTGCCCTACCTGTCGTACTATATCTCCCACCCCACCACTTTAAATCTTACCTTTATTTTTTCCAAATGGGCCTAAAGACATTTTATTTATTTATTTTGAATTTTTGGCTCACATCCGGTGATGCTCAGGGGTTACTCCCAGCTCTGCACACAGGAATTACTCCTGGTGATACATGGGGGACCATATGGGATGCTGGGGATCGAACCCGGGTCGGCCGTAAAGGTAAGGTAAAGGCCCTCCCGTTGATTGTCGATTTGCTCGAGCGGGCCCAGTAACATCTCCATTGGAGACTTTGCTGTTACTGTGTCTGGCATATCGAATACTCTCGGTAGCTTGCCGGGCTCTCCGAGAGGGGCGGAGGAATCGAACTCGGGTCGGCCATGTTGGCCGCTTGTAAGGCGAACGCCCTACCCGCTGTGCTATCGCTCCAGCCGGCTGGAGCGATAGCACAGCGGGGTCGGCCGTGTGCACGGCAAATGCCCAACCCACTGTACTATCTCTCCAGCTCTTTAAATCCAGCCCTTTAGAATCTTATCTTAAAGATCATTCTCAGTATGAGTACTGCACCATTTCTTTCTTTTCTTTTCTCTTTTCAATGTTTAAAAGCATTTAAAATGCTACCTACACTTCTTTTACCACACCATTTCTTATCCCTGTTCTCTCTTGTATTATCATATTATACTACTTGAAATAATTTACATATCGTGTTTATTATCTGTTTCTCTCTGCACACTGTAAGTTCTAGGTGGGTTTTATTGCTATACTCTGTTAGACTGGAATTTGGCACATAGTAAGAATTCAAATATTTTTTTACTTAGTGAATAACTAACACAAATGAGATAAATTCAAGTCTAAGAGATGTGTTCAATTTGTGCAAAGGCAATACTCCCATATAAATTTCCATGTCTACTAGATAAAAACTCTAAGATCTATTTAAACCCAACTAAAAGGTATTCTATTGTTGGGACATCAGTTGTTGCAGGAAAACTGAGAAAAGAATAGTTCTTTTTTGATATCAGCAAAGGTGTTTGATCCTGCTCCGGTGGATTGTTATTTATATATTTTCGATTACACTAATATCCATGGATTTATGGACTTCGAAAATTGCTGAAATGAGCGGTAGTCACTCACTGGGTTCCATGACCCACTGGGCCCTTGAAGAATCACAGAAACCCAGAAATCACAGAATGAGGAAGGCATATGCTTGAGCATCCTGGGAGATGGCACAGTGCACTTCCAGTTTTAGGAAAGCTGATTTTTACATTTCAACTTCCATCTTTTCTACTCACCCTGAAACTGATATCTAGTCTGATTACACAATAGTCCTCAATTTCTATTTTATGAGAGAGAGAAAGAGAGAGAGAGAGAGAGAGAGAGAGAAAACCAAGTTTAAACATTTTATGTCACTGCATTGTGTCACTGTCACAGTCACTGACCTCCCCTTCATCGATTTGCTCGAGCGGGCCCAGTAACGGCTCCACTGTGACACTTGTTACTCTGTTTGGCATATCAGATACGTCACGGGTAGCTTGCCAGGCTTTGCCGCGCAGGCAAGATACTCTCGGTAGCTTGCCAGGCTTAAAAAAATTTGTTTTTAATTAATTTTGACTTTTGGATGACACCCTGCTGTGCTCAGGGCTTACTCTTGTCACTGCTCAGGGATCCCTTCTAGTGAGACTCTGGGAACCATATGCCATGACCAATCAAACCAGAACAGGCTGTGTGCAGGGCAAGCACCTGAACTCCCTTACTATCCATATTGTTCACTGATCAATTCACTTAAAAGTGGTTAGAACAACATGCCGCAGAGATGCTTCCAGACCTCACGCTAGGTTATCTGATCCAGGGCAACTCAGTAGGGGGGGCAGGTCTGTTCCCCTCCCTGCTCCAACAGTGCCACTCTGCAGAGCTCAATCCACTGCTCTGCTCACGGCCACTCTACACCAGCTCGGACGAATCTCATCCATGAGTGAATCTGCTTTAGAATTCCTGGAGCATGCAGCCGCAAATGTGACATCTCACACTCTACACCACTGATAATCCCAAGAATAACATGCCACATTTGATGGGGTTTCAAGTAGAAGGCAGTACAACAATCTTCACACACTTTCCTCTATACCAAATTAATATTTTCAGTTCTGCTTTGGGGGCACGGTGTGGGATTTGGGGTGGAAACATTTGAAATACAGTGGTGGGAAGGTGCATTGGTGGTGGGATCAGCGTTTGAATATTAAATGTAATGAATTACTGTGAACAACTTTATGAAAATAAAATTAAAAGAAAACTGCAAGAGAAAGATATTAAAGGAAAAGTGATTAGAATGGGGGTGGAGGGCTGGGCTGGAGAGAATACAGAAGTTCTTGCCTTCCACGGCAGACTCAGCATCACATATACCCACCTCCAGCATCGCCAGGGTGACCCCCTGAGCACTGAGCCAGGTGAAAAACCTGAACAACACTGGGTGTAGTTTAATAATTTAAAATTTAAAGAAGAAAAATAATTAGAAGGGTGAAAAATAAATCAAGGGCGGCTAGAGCGAAAGTACAGTGGGTAGGACGCTTGCCTTGTATGTGGCCGACCCAGGTTCAATTCCTGCCATCCCATAGGGTCCCCGAGTACTGCCAGGAGTAATTCCTGAGTGCAGAGCCAGGAATAACCCCTGAGCATCGCCGGGTGTGATCCAAAAAGAAAAAATAATTAAGGACAGGACATTCATTTGTGGGATAGAAAAAACATAGTATGAGATTAATATCCAAATCCAACAGAAACAACGACTAGGTGGACTGGTCTACCATTGGAAAGTTGCCACAGGTTGTGGGGCCAGGGATGAAGGAAGGTAAGAGAGAGACAGTTAGGACAGAGAAGGGACCACTTTGACAATGAGAATTGGATGACCACACTCTGGACAAGAACTGAGGGCAGAAAGGAGGTAACATGATATACATGGTAACTGTGTGAGAGAAAGAGACAGACAGACCTACAACTCCATAGAGGCAGTCTGGGTGGGAAGTTGCAGGAGGGAAATTGCGGACATTGATGGTGGGAAATGTACACTGGTGAAGGGATGGGAGCTGGAACATTGTATAATGGAAATCCAATCATGAACAACTTTGTAACTGTGTATCAAACTGTAATTCAATAATTTATTTTTAAAGAAAAAAAAAAACCACAAGGCCAAGGTAAGAGATAGTACCGGGAGTTGGGTACTTGCTTCCATGTGGCTGATTGCTTTGGTCCCTCTATAAATTACTTTATAGATATTTGGAAGCTGTAATGAAACACTCTGGAATCACAATGGGCTGATCAGCATGCATAGTTTAAATGTGCCATTAAAATGTTTTTTTGACTGGTTTTGAGAACCAGAGGATCAGATTCATGGTTAAGAACTTTAGACAATTGTTTTTGTTGTTGTTTGGTTTGGGGGCCACACCCAGTGGTGCTCAGGGATTTTTTCTGGAGAGTTGAGAGAGTATATGGGTGCCTGGGATTAAACCCTACCCACTGTACTATTGCTCTAACACAGTGGTATGTGTGTGTGTGTGTGTGTGTGTGTGTGTGTGTGTCTGGAAAGAGACTGCTAGGGCTTTGCATGAGAAGTCCAGCAACGTTTGACACGGTCTCCCGAGCTTCCTCCAGGAGTGACGTCTCTCTCCCCCTGATGAGCTGGGAGTAGGCCCCAGCACAACTGGTGTGATCCTCCCCAAATCATTAAGATTAAAACTTTAAACAAAAAAACTAATTTTAATTATAGTCAATCCTCACCTTACTCCATCTCATGAAAGTTGAACGACTTCTATTGCACATTAATCTTTTTTTTTTTCTTTTTGGGTCACACCCGGTGATGCACAGGGGTAACTCCTGGCTCTGCACTCAGCAATTACTCCTGGCGGAGCTCCGGGGACCGTATGGGATGCTGAGAATGGAATCCCGGTTGGCCGCGTGCAAGGCAAACGCCCAACCCTCTGTGCTATGGCTCCAGCCCCTGCACATTAATTATTTTTTAAAATTTTTATTAGTGAGACATCTTGAGGTACAGTTGTAGACTTACAAATTTTTGCACTTGGGTTTCAATTATACAATGATCAAATACCCATCCCTCCACCTGTGCCCATTTCCCACCACCACGGATCCCAGTATCCCTCCCACACCCCCATCCCCCCCATCTCACCCTGCCTAGTGGCAGGGCATTCGCTTTTGTTTTCTCTCTCTTATTGGGTGTTGTCCTGCACATTCATTTTTAAAATGCCTTTATACTCACATCGAAAACTTTTCCATCACCTTCCAAGCGCAAGGTCTGGAGTTGTCCAAAATTTTAGCTCAGTTTTATTCTCTCCTCATTAAAAAACAAAACAAATACGAAAAAAAAAGTGATTAACAGACAAGTCAGCCTTGACAAAGCCCCTACATTTCGTCTCAACTCCTTTATTTCAATAACAAACGGCAGTCCGGGAAGGGGGTGGACGAGTCGGACCCCTGGATCGCACGCACCGAGGTGAATCCGACTGGAATTCGGGGCCCAGGAATGCAAGAGCCGGGCAGAAGCGACACGGGCCACTCTGAAACTGGCAGAGCGGAGGGTCGCTCGGGCCTGTGTCCCGCGTCCCGCCGCCCTCGGCTTCCCCTCCCAGGCGGGTTCCCGGCGGGGCGTCCCCGCCGCCGGAGAGTGCGACGCTCAGCGCTTTCCGTGGCCGCTTCGGGGCGTGGCTCGGGTGACGGCGCGGCGCGCCGCTTCCTGCGTGGGTGGGAGGTGGCGGGAAGCTGTTCCTCTCCCAGATTCCCGCCACAGTTTTAAGTTTCATTTGCAACGGCAGGTGCTCCTTCCTCTTCCCGATGCCTTTGCCTGACATCGCGCCCGCTTTCGGGGAGCCCCGCGCGTCCCGCGCACCCCGCGCGCCCCGCGGGAACCCTCCGTGCGCCCAGGGCGCGCCGCCCACGACTTCCAAGGCCAGAGCCGCGGCCGCGAAGCGCTCGGCGCCGAAGAAGAAGAATTGCGTCCCGACGGCATCCGGGGAGCCCTCGGCCACCCCCGAATCCACCGGGGCAGGAGCAGCCGCGTGCGATCGCGCCCGGGCGTCGGGGACCCGGCGGAGGGGCCGCGCTCCGGGCCCCGAGGATGAGCCGTCGGGGAGCGCGCGGGCCGCCCGCGCCCCCGAAACTCCCGCGCGCGCCGGGGACGCCCAGATCGACGGGCTGGCCCGGCCCGTCGAGGCCCCCGAGCCGTCCGAGTCCCGGCCGCGAGCTCGCCGCTCGGTGCGGGAATCGAGAGCCCCCGCGGGCCCCGCCGACGGCCCCGGGCCCGGCCCAGGTCCCCGCGGCTGGAAGGCGCGCGCCGTGCTGGACCTGCTGCGTCTGCGGAGCGTGCAGGTGTCGGAGGCGGCGGGCGCCGTGAACAAGGTGGTGGAGCGCGTGCTGCGGGGACTGCGGGGCCGCGAGTCGCCTTTCAAGGGGGTCGAGCTGCTCAACGCCGGGAGCTACTACGAGCACGTGAAGGTGAGTCCGGACGGGACCCCCCGGTCCTCATCTTCTTGCCCAGTCGCCCGCAGGCCTCTAGGGGCCGCGGACGCGCCACACTCCCTGTCGCAGTGACTCGATCTGGCCTCGTGGTGGCCCTTGACCCAGACCTGGTTCGTTCCACGGGGCACCCAAGTCACTGAGTGCCCGACGGCCCCTTCAGCTCCGCGGAGATTTCACCACCCGCCCCGGTGTGCACGGTGGGGTCAGGTCAGAGTCTGGATGGGTAAGTAGGAGTGGGCAGCTGACAGTTCGACAGTTCCACAAAATGAAGGGACACATTGGGACCACAAGGCAAACACCCTACCCACTGTGCTATCTCTCCAGCCCCGCATTGGGACCACAGAGACAGTTCAGCGGGTAAGTCGCTTTCCTTGTCCGCGGCTGACCCTGGTTCGATCCCTAGCACCCCTTAGCCTGCTAGGACTCATCCCTGAGCACAGGCCAGGAGTCATCCTTGAGCGATGCGAGGTGAGGCCCAACACGCCCAATCTCCCACCCCAAATTTAATGTGTCCAAGAACGTTTGCTTGTGCAGAGCGTTTCTGTACTCCGGAAGGAAGTTTTTTTTTTTCTCCTTAGTCCTTGCAGCTTCCATTTCTTTCTTCTTATTTTCTTTTTAAATGTAGGAGTACTGCTGTTTATTCAGCCATTGATTAAGCTGATTGAACTGGGCATGATCTCCACATTACTTTTTGATTCAGAATGTTAATTTAATTTTATTATTATTATTATTATTATTATTATTTGCTCTTTGGGTCGTACCTGGCGATGCACAGGGGTTACTCCTGGCTCTGTGCTCAGGAATTACCCCTGGCGGTGCTCAGGGGACCATATGGGATACTGGGAATCAAACCCAGGTCGGCCACGTGCAAGGCAAATGCCCTACCTGCTGTGCGCCAGGCCCTATTATTATTTTTTAATCGCCATGAGGTACAGTTACAAAGCTTTCCTGTTTGAGTTTCAGTCATACAATGATCGATCACCCAACCTTCCACCAGTGCACATCTTCCACCACCAAAGTCCCTAGTATTCTGCCTCCCCTCCCCCCCCCCCCCCCCCCCCCCCCCCCCGTTATGGCAGACAATCTTCCTTATACTTTCTTTTGTATAGCTTGTTATGCACAAGATGTTGTATAGCTGCAAGAGTGGCCGCATGCTCCTGGAATTCTAAAATTTTAGATAATCAGGGTCTGGAGAAATATCTGCAGTGAGCTGCTCGGTTCAGGGATTCTTTTATGTGTCTCTGAATCATGGGCATTAGGGAGCTTAAGTAGCAGCCCAGGGTAGTTTGTGGCCATGACCTCCAGGGTCCCATGGGAATGGGGGAGGGGGACAGAAGGGGGGATTGAGCAAGACCAACCCATCCCCAATCCCTTGAGGCCTGGAGTTTGCCCTCACCGAACCTGCGTACCTGCACTTCTCATTGGGTTCTAGAAGTTGGCAGCCACCAGGGCTTTTAGGGGGCAGGTGGAGGGATGACGCCTGCCCCCATCTGAGGCACCCCGCAAAGGTTTGCCTGGCTTAAAGTCCTGAGGCATCTCTGCAGCGTGCAGTTCCCGTTTCTCTTGGATGTCTCACATGTCAATGCATCGTTTCATTTTGGAAGTATGAGAGAAGAGGGCAACCCCATGTTGTAAAAGAGAGAAACTATACACTACGAATTAGGATGCAGGAGATTCTAAAATAGAATATGGGGGCTGGAGCGATAGCACAGCGGGTAGAGCATTTGCCTTGCACATGGCCAACCCGGGTTCGATTCCCAGCATCCCATATGGTCCCCTGAGCACCGCCAGGAGTAATTCCTGATCGCAGAGCCAGGAGTAACCCCTGTGCATTGCCGGGTGTGACCCAAAAAACAACAAAAAAAATAGAATATGCCCTGCTTTGCTTTCTGCTATCTACCAGTTGGTTTGGTAGCATGGAGGTAACTTCCCTGAGATGGGAGCTAAGGAGGAGCCAGGAGGAAAGAGACTTACCTTTTCTGTGCTCCGCCCACCTGAGTCACTGGGGAAGTGCCTGTGTTGTGTTCATTGTATCACTGTCATGTTCATCGATTTACTTGAGCGGGTGCCGTTAACTTGTCCGTTTGTCCCAGCCCTGAGATTTTAGCAGCCTCTCCTTACTTGTCTTTCCCAATGCTGCCATATTGGAGGCTCTTTCAGGGTCAAGGGAATGAGACCCGTTATTGTTACTGTTTTTGGCATATCGAATACTCCACGGGTAGCTTGCCAGGCTCTGTGTTAGGTTGGGGTGGCTAAAGTCTGCCCTGGTCCCCCTCTGCAGCACTGGCACTACATTCCCGCCATCCCCACTAGAGAGCTGTGAGACTGCAACTGGAATGTGCATGATCTACATGACACAGGAACCGGTCAGTCCCCACCAACCAATGCTCAGGAACCCTGAACTCCATCTGGAGTGAGGCGCTGCTCTTTGCAGATAAGAGAATGTCAGTCCCGACTCTTGCCCAGGTAATCCTGCTGTGGTGCCTTTTCTCACAGAGGGAACTTTCAACAGGAGGCAGTGGAGAGTGAAGTCAAAGAGTTTTATTTAGGAAAATGTAAGGAGGGATAAAGGGAGGAAAGAGAGAGGAAAGTGGCAGGTTGTAATGCGGGCAGCAGAGAATACAGTTTTATTTTTGTTTGAGGGCCATCTTTGTCTAACCTCAGTCTATGGCAGGCATTCAATCTAATGAATGAATGCAAAAGAAAGAGTTTGCCTGGGTTCAGCATGGTGGGTCAGCATGTCCAGGGCTTACTTTTGACTTTTTGCTTAAGGATCACTCCTGTTTGGGCTCAGGGGACTGTGTGGGGTGTCAGGCATGGAATCCAGGTCAGCTGTATTCAAAGCAAGCCCCTTACCTGCTGCACTGTCTCTTCCATTTTGCAGTACATTTTAAAAAATGTCTCTCATATGTGGGAGACAAAGAAGTTTATAGTATAGGAATAACAAATGGTCAAAGTCATTGGAATTTGGAGATTTTCTCCACAGAACTGAGCTTACATGGGATGCAGCGAGATCCCAGGGCTGGGAGGGGTTCTTGGGACACTGATGGAGGGCAACTGGCACTCTAGTGATTAATGTGGTGTTGCAGTGATATATGCATGAAAAGGATGATTAACAGATTTATAAATCTGGTACTTCAATAGAAATGGATAAATGAAAGTGGGAGATCTCTCTCAAAGCTTTTGCTTTCTCAGGGTACCAAATTCAGAATGAATTCCTGTCATCCTTTTTCATGTCTATTAATAATAGATTTCATTTATTTTTGAAGTAAAACCTAATTCTTAGGGGCTGGAGCAGTTGAATGGAAGGGCCTGAGGATGTGATGCTGCTCAAGCCCATGCTGCCAGGAACTACCAGGGCCAGGGATCTCCAGGGCTAAACCTGGCAATGCAGGGGCATTGTGGTGCCAGGTATTGAACTAGGGCCGGGAGTATGCAAGGCATGAGTCCTATTAATAGCCCCTGCTTTGCTGTGAGTGGATACTTCATGCACTTCAAATAACAATAAACATAAGAAAAAGCTCAGGATTATTACTCATCAAAAAAATGTAAATTAACACCACAAGACTTGGGGCTGGAGTGATAGTACAGCCCAACTTTATACACAGTTGACCCAGGGTCATCCCACACACCCCAGATGGTCCCCCAAGCTTGCCAGGATTGATAATTGGTGCAGAGCCAGGATTAAGTCCGGAGCATTGCCAAGTGTGACCCCAAAAAAAACAAAACAAACGACTCACAAGATTATCAGACATCTCTAGAATGGCTAATTCATTTTGGACGTAGGACTCTCCCAAGCACTGCTCAAAGGGATTCAGGGCCTCTTTCACCGATTCTCAGCCTAACTGGCTGACGGTACAGCGAGAGGGCTCAATGATGCAGGTATTGCCAGGCCACCCCATGAATGCTTGGGGGCCTGCAAGGATGCACCATGTTCCTCAGGGAACATGTGGTGCTGAGGTTAGAACCATGGATGACCGCAGGCCAGACACACCTTAACTGCTGTGCTTTCTCTCTAGCCCCTAGAACGGTTGATATTTGAATAAGATGTGGCAATTCCAAGTGACGGATGAAGGGAAGAGCTACCGATATTCCCTTATATTGGGATGGAATATATAGCGAGTAAGGCGTTTGCCTTGCACCTGGCCGACATGGCCGAGCCGGGTTCGATTCTTCCGCCCCTCTCAGAGAACTCGGCAAGCTATTGAGAGTATATCACCCGCACAGCAAAGCCTGGCAAGCTCCCTGTGACATATTCAATATACCAAAAACAGTAACAATAAGTCTCACGATTTGTTGTGAGACATTACTGGTGCCCGCTCGAGCAAATCGATGAAAACGGGAGGATAGTGACAGTGAGCACTTTAGAAAATAGGATTTTTTCTAAATTCAAGGAAGTACTTACATCATTATTTTTTGGTTTTGGGCCACCCATTGGTGCTCAGGGCTTACTATTGATTCTGTATTCAGGGATCACTCCTGACAGGCTTGGGGTACCGTATGGGGTTTCAGGGACACAAACCAGGTCAGCTATATGCAAGGCTAATGCCTGCTGTACTATTGTTCTGGCCCCAGAAATATTTACCTTAAAGTTCAGTATTTGAACTCTGCATTTGGGGGGGGGGGTGTGTGTGTTTATAAATAAAACAATAGAAAAAAGTACTTATTTTCACTAAAAGGCATATATAAGAACACTCAGAATTGGGGCTGGAGTGATAGCACAGTGGGTAGGGCATTTGCCATGCACGTGTCCAACTGGGGTTCGATTCCCAGCATCCCATATAGTCCCCTGAGCACAGCCAGGAGTAATTCCTGAGTGCAGAGCCAGGAGTAATCCCTGTGCATTGCCAGGTGTGACACAAAAAGGAAAAAAGAACACTCAGAATAGTTTTGCAATAGATACAGAAATATTTTAATTATGGAAAGCAGGAATTATGGAGTTCTGCAGATCAAACCTGCGTTGGCCAAAAGTACTATCACTCCAGCCCCCTAAGGTTTGTTGCTGTTATTGTTTTTTAAGTAGAAATTTTAAGAAAAGCCAATCACGAACATTTTCATCGCTTTGTTTACCCTTCCTTCCCCCCATGTCCTAGGTTTCTGTTCCTAACGAATTTGATATTATGTTCAAACTGGAGGTCCCCAGAATTGAACTTATAAAATATGAAAAGAATGCTGCTTTTTGCTTTGTGAAGTTCAAGAGGAATCCCAAAGGAAATCCCCTGAATGTCTTTTTGGAAGATGACTATTTATCAGCTTCTAAGATGCTATCCAAATTTCGGGAAATCATTAAAGAAGAAATTTTAAAAATCGATGGTAAGATCTTTTACTTTGGATTCTTAAGGTTGTACCCAAGTAATTGTCAATGTAGATTCCTTGGCTGATTTTGGTGTATGTGTGTGTGTGTGTGTGTGTGTGTGGGCAGGTGGAGGGGATTTCACATTTTGTTTATTTAACTGAGACACTGTGATTTGCAGTACTGTTTCTGGTAGGATTTCATGCATACATTGTACCAATAGTTCCAACCTTTCACCCATGTCTGCTTCCCTCCATCATGACTTGGTTAACTTTGAAAAAAAAATTATGTGAATTTATTTATTTATTTGGCTTTTAATTAATTAATTAATTAATTTGGCTTCACACCCGGTGATGCACAGGGGTTACTCCTGGCTCTGTGCTCAGGAATTACTCCTGGCTGTGCTCAGGGGACCGACCATATGGGATGCTGGGAATCGAAGCCGGGTCAGCCGTGTGCAAGACAAATGCCCTACCTGCTGTACTATCACTCCAGTCCCAATGGGCATTTATTTTATGATGAAATTATCCCCAGCCCATATTTTATTTCTTTAATTTCTTCTGTGTTAACTAAAGATTTTTCTTCTATATTAACCTTTTCCTCTGGTTTACTTGCAATCTTTTTTTTTTTTTTCTTTTTGGGCCATACCCAGTGCTGAGTAGTACTTGACAGCACTGTTTGAAGGTTGCTCTTGGTGGTCTGGGGGGGATGATGACCCTGTGGTGCCAGGGATTGAACTATCTCCTCCCACATACAGTAGATGTGCATCAACTCTTTGGGTTTTTTGTTTGTTTTGTTTTTTGGCTCTTTGGGCCACACCCGGTGATGCTCAGGTCTTATTGCTGGCTCTGCACACAGGAATTACTCCTGTTGTTGCTTGGGGGACCTTGTGAATGCAGGGGATTGAACCTGGGTCAGTAGCTTGCAAGGCAAGTGCCCTACCCGATGTACTATATCACTCTAGCCCCTGCATTATCCCTTTAAACTATTTTCTTGACCTCAGTAAGGAGGGTTCTCTATTTTCTCTGTCTCTCTGCCTCTGTCTTTCCGTGTCTGTGTCTGTGTCTGTGTCTGTCTGTCTGTCTGTCTGTCTCTCTGTCTCTCTCTCTCTCTGTCTGTCTCTCGGATCACACCCAGCAATGTTCAGCCACTACTCCTGCTGCTGCACTCAAGAATCACTCCTGGGGGCTGGAGCAATACCACAGCAGGTAGGGCATTTGCCTTGCATGCAGCCGAGCTAGGTTCGATTCCCAGTGTCCCATATGGTCCCCGAGCACCGCCAGGAGTAATTCCTGAGTGCATGAACCAGGAGTAACTCCTGTGCATCACTGGGTGTGACCCAAAAAGAAAAAAAAAGAATCACTCCTGGCAGTGCTTGGGGAACCATATGGGATACCAGGGATCAAACCCAGTTTGGCTTCTTGCAATCTTGCAAGGTACACGCCCTGCTCACTGTATTATCTTTCCAGCACCCGGCAGTAAGGAAGAGCTCTTGGGTTAATCTGACCATGAGCTTTGTGAATTATGTGGTGCATCTGGGGCTCTTCTTTTAGTTGCATATGCCCAGTGGCCAGAGAGTGAGTGCATGCAGCAGCCTCTCTGCCCTGTTTTCTTATTGTTGTTGTTATTGTTTTGTTTCTGTTTGAGGATTGTAGGATAACATTGGTTTGCCCTTCCTCCCTGGCCACAGGGATCTTGGGTTTGTTGATTGCTTCCTCAACCTGTCAATTACCTTTGCCTCCTGATCAGACTCTGCTGACTTGTATTGTTTTTCTCTTCTCCTCAATGTCCTTTGCATGGTTAGTTACTTCAGAGCAATTCCTTTTTATTTTTTTTTTTGTCACACGCGGCAATAAACAAGGGATATTCCTTGCTCTGCACTCAGGAATTACTCCTGGCAGTGCTCGGGAGACCAAATGAGTGTGTGGTAATCGCACCTGAAATCTATTCTCTTTATAAGTTTCTAGGAGCGATAGCACAGCGGGTAGGGCGTTTGCCCTGCATGCGGCCGACTTAGCTCTGATTCCACCATCCCTCTCAGAGAGCCCAGTAAGCTACCGAGAATATCTCGTCCGCACGGCAGAGTCTGGCAAGCTCCCCGTGGCATGTTCGATATGCCAAACACAGTAACAACAAGTATACAGTGGAGACCTTACTGGTGCCTGCTAGAGCAAATCCATGAACAACAGGAGGGCAGTGCTACAGTGCTACAGTATTCAATATGGTAATAGTAACCATAGTCCTCAGATCGTGCATTAGATTTCTAGATGCATCAATGATGGTAGCTTTATATCCTTGACCAACACCTCATTCCCCTCATTTCTGTGCACCCGTAGCCATTCTACACTCTTGTTTTTGCATCTAGATGATCTGCTTATACTTAGGATGAAGGAAAGTACCGATAAACTTCATTGTTGGCTAAAAATGCATTCAGTGCCACTAACCTACCAAATATCATTGCTTAGCTTATCCCATTTTAAATATACTTTAACACTGTTAGAAACTACCATTAAGCAGAATCATTAAACACAACACTAATTTTTAGTGAGGCCTTGACTATTGTACTAAAAATTAAATTAAAAAATTGCATGGGTTCTGTTGTAAGTCAGAACATAGTAAATTTAGAATCATGTGTAGTTGGAAGCCTTTTTTTTTTTGTACTTTGTATGTGCCTTTTAATTTATTTATTTGGTATTTTGTCCATACTTTTTATTTTATTTTTAAATTTTTTTTTTTAAATTGAATCACCATGAGACACAGTTACAAAGCTTCCATGACTGGGTTTCAGTCATACAATGATCGAACACCCATCTCTCCACCAGTGTACATTTTCCACCACCGATGTCCCCAGTATTCCCTGCTCCCGATCAGACCCCTCCCCCTGCTACTATGGCAGACAATTCCATGGAACCATTCTGAAGTGTGGCATATCTCACTCAGAATATAATTTCTCAGGTTCATACTTGTCACAAATGCAGGAGCTCTTTCAATAGAGTAATATTTCATTTTCATGTTAATTATGTACACATGTATCTTTACAAACTGTCCTCCCGTTGTTCATCGATTTGCTCGAGCGGGCCCAGTAACGTCTCCATTGGAGACTTTGTTGTTACTGTGTTTGGCATATTGAATACGTCACAGGTAGCTTGCCAGGCTCTGCCGTGCGGGTGAGATACTCTCGGTAGCTTGCCGGGCTCTCCAAGAGGGGCGGAGGAATCGAAACTGGCTCGGCCAGGCTGGCTGCGTGCAAGGCAAATGCCCTACCGCTGTGCTATCTCTCCAGCCATAATTTCTCCAGCCATCCTCCATCGTTGGTATCTACATACCTGACTTGTAATAATGTTGCAGCAGTTATTGGCTGCTCTGGGGATTTTTTGTTCTTTTTTCAGGGGGGGGGCACACCCAGCTGTGGAGCCGGGGATCAAACCTGAGTGGGTACTCCTGAGTTCTGTCACGATGCCTTTGTGCTACCCCAGATACCCACTGTCTGTGGTCTCCAGAATCACCTCTCTCTCCGATACTATGTAATATTCTCTCCAGGTTTCCTTCCAAACTACCATCCATAAATTTATTTATTTATTTTATGTAGGAGTACTGCTATTTATTCAGCCACTGATTAGCTGATTGAATTGGGCATGAACTCCACCTTACTTTTTTTTTCATAATTTTATTTGTTTTTTCTTCTTCTACTTATTTATTGAATCACTGTGGGAAAAGTTACTAAGCTTTCAGGTTTAAGTCTCGGCCATACAATGATCAAACACCTTTCCCTTCACCAGTACTCATTTTTCACTACTAAGAACCCCAATATACCTCCCCCTTCCATCCCTCCCAATGCCTGTGAGGCAGATGATTTCTACTTAACTCTTCTCTACATTGATCACATTCATTATTTCGACAAAAGATGCACCATTATTGTTCAGAATTCCCCCCCAACAATCAGAATTGCTGAAAAGGCATTGTGAAATACTTTGTTTTCTATAGCTGGTTATGAGAATCATATAACGTTGTGCGGCCACAATAGTGGCCGCGTGATTTTGGATTTCTCTAAAGAGCCAGATAATTACGAGATTGGTTTCTGTGCATCTGGTGTTATGGCTGTGCTGGAGAGCCACTCATGGGGGGCAACTCGTGACCTTGGTAGGGCATGAAGGATGAGTTGGTACCACCCCCCTTCCCATGAGACTGCAGTTGCCCTGTCACCGCCAGCTCATACCTGACTTTCCTATAAGCTCTGAGGCGGTGGGCACCCTGCTGCTGGGAGGGAAAGAGGCGGAAGGGAGCAACACCCTTTCCCTCCCGGGGAGGCATGGCACCGTAGTTTAATGCATGGTCCATTCACTTTTCTGCCTTGCATGCAGCTGACCTGGTTGCAGCTGCCGGGCTCTGGATTAAGTCCTTTTGCCTCTGGAGCCATGGCCATGCCAAAGAGCTGCTCGTGTGGGGCAACTCATGATCTTGGTAGGGCGTGATGGACAAGACGGTACCACACTCCTTCCTATGTAACAGCCATAAATTTAAACAAAAAATTAGTCATACACTCCCAACCCCTGCTTCTACTCATGTAAGGGATCAATATACATTGGTTAGGCAAGTCAGCTTTTTGCCTCGTGGGAGCTGTGTTTGCTGAGAATTGATTTTCACCATTGCACTTTATAGATCTCCAACAAAAATTACGTCATTTCCCTGTATTTCAAGAAAAATTGGAGTAATAAACCCTTCTTGGGGCTGGAGAGATAGCACAGTGGGTAGGGTGTTTGCCTTGCACGCGGCCAACCCGGGTTCAATTCCCAGCATCCCATATGGTCCCCTGAGCACTGCCAGGAGTAACTCCTGAGTGCACGAGCCAGGAGTAACCCCTGTGCATCACCGGGTGTGACCCCAAAAGCAAAAATAAAATAAAATAAACTCTTCGTTGGCTTTATTCTTTTTTTAAAAAATTGATTAATTTATTTTGAATACCCATCCCTCCACCAGTGACCATTTCCCACTACCACGGGTCCCAGTATCCCTCCCACCCCCCCCACCCCATCCCACTCTGCCTCTGTGGCAGGGCATTCCCTTTTGTTCTCTCTCTCCTATTGGGTGTTGTGGTTTGTATAAGAGTTACGTTGGCTTTATTCTTAAACTGCAGATGTCACTATGGAAGAGGAGAAAATCGGGAGCCCTGCTGTAACACTTATTTTGAAATCTCAAAAAATATCTGTGGATATAATCCTGGCACTGGAATTAAAAAGCAGCTGGCCTGAAAGCACCAAGGAAGGCCTACCAATTCATCAATGGCTGGGGCGAAAAGTTCGGACAGATCTCAGAAAAGATCCGTATTACCTGGTGGCCAAGCCTGCAAAGGAGGGAGATCATTATCAAGGTATGGTGAATGTGGAAGCTGGTGTCACTGGGGCAGTGAAAGGTCGAACGATGCTTTTGGCATTTCAGGCATTCGGAAGCCTGCAGCCTGTGTAGGCTGCAAGACAGGAGACTTGCGAGAGGGGAAATTGAAAAGGTAGAGTTTCAGGAGTAGTATCCGTTTCTCAGATTGAAATGTTTGCTAGCTCACATTTGGAGGTCGCTTCTTTTGGTTCGGTTTGGTTTAGATAAAGAATAAAAAGCAGAGGCTGGAATGAGAGCACAGCGGAGAGGGTGTTTGCCTTGCATGCAGCTGACCTGGGTTCAATCCCTGCATTCCATATGCATCCCGAGCACCACGGGGAGCCAGGAGTAATTCCTGACTACAGAACCGGAAGTAACCCTTGAGCATTGCTAAGTGTGGTCCCTGAACAAACAAACACAAGAATAAAAAGCAGTACTGATCTGGAGTCAAACAGGGCTTTGGAATCAGAGAATGGAATTGAATGGAATTCTCTATCATACTTTTGCTGGCTCTGTCCGAATGGAACTTTTTTTTTTTTTTAAATTTTTATTAGTGAGACACCATGAGGTACAGTTGTAGACTTACAAATTTTTGTGCTTGGGTTTCAATTATACAATGATCGAATACCCATCCCTCCACCAGTGCCCATTTCCCACTACCACGGGTCCCAGTATCCCTCCCATCCCCCATTCGCCCCATCCCACGCTGCCTCTGTGGCAGGGCATTCCCTTTTGTTCTCTCTCTCTCTTATTGGGTGTTGTGGTTTGCAAAAGAGCCAATGGGTCGAATGGAACTTTTGAATGGAATTCTCTATCATACTTTTGCTGGCTCTGTCTGAACTAGCTTTGAAAAATTTGATGTAATTTGTCTTAAAGATGAGAGTCTACCGGTATTCCTGTGACTGTGGGGAAATCACTTTGAGTGGGTTAGTGCTTACATCCTTTCATAAAAATGAAAGTGGAGGTCGCTGGGAAGGGTCCAGAGCTAGGATAATACAATGGGTAGGGCACTTGCCTTGCATGTGGCCAATCCTAGTTCCATCCTTAGCATCCTGTATGCTCCCTGATCACCTTCAGGAGTGATTCTTGAATGCAGAGCCAGGAGTAACCCCTGAGCATCGCCGGGTGTGGCCCAGATACAATAAAAGGCAAAAAGAAAGGAGAGGCTGATGACAGGTGCACATCTTAATATTTAATAATAATTATTATTATTTTTTACTTTTTGGGTCTGCTTTCTGCTACCTTTGATTTTCTCCATCTCCCCTTTCTTGATTATCTGTATTCACACTAAATTCTTTCTCTGTGTTCCTGTGAGTATCTGAGTGACTTGACAGAGGGGCATATTAGCAATATTATTGAAATAAGAAACTTTCAACAATTTTTTAATCACATCCAACAGTGTTTGGGGACTACTCAGTGCTCATTGTTCAGGGGTCGCTCCAGCAGTACTCAGGGGACAACATCATCATGGGAATTGAACCCCTGAGTTCCTGCATGCAAGTATACACTCCAGCCCTTGGGCTATCTCCCAGGCTCTAGAAATAATATTTCTTGGCTAAATTGAGTTACTTTATCTTATTTTTATTATTATTATTTTTTACTTTTTGGGTCACACCTGGCGATGCACAGGAGTTACTCCTGTCTCATGCACTCAGCAATTACTCCTGGTGGTGCTCAGGGGACCATATGGGATGCTGGGAATTGAACTTGGGTCAGTCTCGTGCAAGGCAAGTGCCCTCCCCGCTGTGCTACCCAAATTGAGTTACTTTAAACCTAGCGAGGCTCTTCTCTTTCTAAACATCTGCCTAGAAAATTTCTGGTCTTACAAGCTGTATATTTTTTTTAATCCCGTATTTTAATCTGTGCACCTGTTTTAAAATAATAGGGCATTATTACTAAGAATATCAATATTTTAAGAAGTCTGAGATCTTTGCTGTTATTTTTCCCCCTAAATAATTTTTTTTCATTTATTTTTTTAAGATACCATGATTTACAAACTCGCTCATAATAGAATTGTTTCTGGCATACAGTGTTCCTACACAAATCCCACCACCAGTGTTCCTCACCCTAGCAATCACCCTTCACCATATAAAGGTAAAGGTAAAGGCCCTCCCGTTGTTCATCGATTTGCTCGAGCGGGCCCAGTAACGTCTCCATCATGAGACTTGTTGTTACTGTGTTTGGCATATCGAGTACATCACGGGTAGCTTGCCAGGCTTTGCCGTGCAGGCGAGATACTCTCGGTACCTTGCCGGGTTCTCCGAGAGGGACGGAGGAATCGAACTCGAGTCGGCTATGTTGGCTGCGTGCAAGCAAACGCCCTACTGCTCTATCGCTCTAGCCTGTTATATGCCTGTTATATGGCAGGCATATAACAAATTTATTTTCTATTACTTGCTCCAACAAAACTTTAAGGAACGACAAATGAAATGATCAGAAAATAATTCAATAAAAGTCAATTTGTGATGAGTGAGTGCTAAGTGCTTTTAACAATATAAATAAGACTTTAATTCCTCATTGAAAACATGTACATTAGCAGGGCCAGAGCGATAGCACAGCAGGTAGGGTATTTGCCTTGCACGCGGCCGACCCAGGTTTAACCCCCGTCATCTTTTGGTCCCCCGAGCACCGCCAGGGATGGTTTCTGAGTGCAGAGCCAGGAATAAACCCATGCATTGCCAGTGTGACCCCCCCGCAAAGAAAACCCATATACATTAGTAAGCTAGGAATAAGCATACCTATCTTAATCTATTAGATGCCAACTACATGCACCGTTGGTGAATGTCATCCTCAATGCCACGTGTTGGGAAATCTGTCCTGTTCTTTAGGAAAGCTCTTTTAACGCTTTTTTGCAACACTGGTTTCAAGGCTGTGAATTTCCTACGCTGTTGCTTGTCTATGAAACTCTGTATCATTTCTTCAAATCTGAATTAAATCTAGCTGGGTGGAGTGTTCTTAGTGAGCTGTTCATTTCATTTGGTTTATATCGCTCCATACTCTTCTGGCTTGCAGTTTCATATGATAGATCTGCTGGATGTAAGCTCCTTTTTTGGTTCTTTCAGTATCCTGTCTAGCTTTGGCTTTTGTCATTTTGAGTATGGTGTACCTTGGAGTCTATTTTCTGGTAGATGGGTCTATTTTCCCTGGGATCCTTCAGACCTCTTGGATCTTGGTGCTTATAATCCTCAACTCTGGGAAATTCTTATCCATGTGTTCTTCGACTATTTTTTTTTCTTTTTGGGTCACACCCGGTCATGCACAGGGGTCACTTCTGTGCTCAGGAATTACCCCTGATGGTGCTCAGGGGACCATATAGGATGCTGGGAATCAAACCCGGGTTGACCACGTGCAAGGCAAATGACTTACCCACTGTGCTATCATTCCAGCCCCTCTTTGACTAATTTATTTATTTATTTTGCTTTTTGGGTCACACTCGGCGATGCTCAGGGGTTACTCCTGGCTCATGCACTCAGGAATTACTTCTGACGGTGCTCGGGGGACCATATGGGATGCTGGGAATCGAACCAGGGTCGGCCATGTTGGCTGCGTGCAAGGCAAAATGCCCTACCCGCTGTGCCATCGCTCCAGCCCCCATTTTTTTTTTTATTAGTGAAACACCATGAGGTTCAGTTGTAGACTTATAAACTTTCATGCTTGGGTTTCAGTTATACAATGATCCAATACCCATCCCTCCACCAGTGCCCATTCTCCACCACCACTGATCCCAGTGTCCCTCCCAGCCCCCAGCCCCCCACCCCACCCCACCTTTGTGGCAGGGCATTCCCTTTTGCTCTCTCTTTCTTTTAGGGTGTTGTGGTTTGCAACAGAGGTATTGAGTGGCCATTGTTTTCAGTCTATAGTCTACTTTCAGCACGCATCTCGTATCCCAAGTGAATCCTCCAAACATCTTTTACTTGGTGTTCCCTTCTCTAACTGGCTGCCTTTTCCCCCTAGCTTGTGCTGCCAGCTTTCAAGACATGGAGCAGACCTCCTGGTACTTATCTCAACTATTCTTGGGTGTTTGTCTCCCATTCTGTTACTTTAGATTCCCCAGATGAGTGCAGTCTTTCTATGTCTGTCCCTCTCTTTCTGGCTCATTTCACTTAGCATGCTACTTTCCATATAGAACCACTTGTATGTAAATTTCATGACTTCATCTTTTCTAACAGCTGCATAGTATTCCATTGCGTAAATGTACCAAAGTTTCTTTAACCAGTCATCTGTTCTCGGGCACTCTGGTTTTTCCAAATTTTGGCTATTGTGAACAGTGCAGCAATGAATATAGAAGTGCAGATGTCCTTAGTTTCTATAGCTCAGATTCTATGATTCAGAGGGACAGTGACCATATTATTGTATAATGAGATTAATCAGTGTTTGCCAGCAGGGGGCTGAGAAACTCAGAGGGAGACTTCCACCTTGCCTCTTCACCCCCCCCCCCCCATCCCCGTGACCACTCTTAGCCCTTATTTGTGCCAAAAGTCTGGTTTATAATTTTCTGTCTCTGGACCATTGTACTATTCCCTGAAAAGCGGGATGGGAGTAAAAAGGGACTCAGCCAGTTTGGTCACCACTAGCTTAAGATACCAGACACAGGAGTCATTTTTTGTTTGTTTGAAGGCCACAACCTGACCATGCTGGGGTTGCCACACATACCAGATATGCTGTGTGTCTTCTGCTCTACCACTGTCCTGGCCACAACTTTTTTTTTTCTTTTTGGGTCACACCCGGCAATGCACAGGGGTTATTCCTGGCTCTGCACTCAGAAATCACTCCTGGCGGTGCTTGAGGGGGGACCATATGGGATGCTGGGAATCGAATTCAGGTTGGCCACGTGCAAGGCAAACACCCTACCCGCTGTGCTATTGCTCCAGCCCCCACAACTTATTTTTTAATGGACCTTTTATCAGATCAGATTCTCCTCTAGATATTTTTGCACAGAGGTATTTTTCATAAATGATGAATGCACGTTAAATTTTGCTAGCTGGATTTTCTGCTTTATTGAGGTAATCATATGTTTCTCTTCATATTGATTTTTTTTTCACAGTCTCAAATTTACTTTTGAATACACACTTTTTACTATGCATTTACCTAAGTAAAATCTTTCCTCAGCAGTAGAAACTGCTCCTTTGCAAATTGCTTCTATATATACTAATACCATATTAATTTTGAAATTATAAAGCAATTGTTTTTAATTGTGTTCCCATTAGAAATGAAATAGATAATAGGTTGGTGAGATTTTATTTTATTTGATTTTTATTTTATTTTTAAAAAATTTTTTTATTAGCGAAACACCATGAGGTACAGTTACAGACTTATAAATTTTTGTGCTTGGGTTTCAGTTATAAAATGATTGAGTACCCATCCCTCCACCAGTGCCCATCCTCCACCACCACGGGTCCCAGCATCCCTCCCACCCCCCATCCCCCCCTCCCACCCTGCCTCTGTGGCAGGGTATTCCCCCTTGTTCTCTCTCTCTTCTTTTGGGTACTGTGTTTTGCAAGAGAGGCATTGAGTGGCAATCATGTTTGGTGAAATTTTAAAAGAGCTACCCATGGTACATCTAGTAGAAAGGGGAAGAAATTATTCTGTTCTTTCAAAAACTCTCTCAAGGAATAGAAACTAATATTTCCTAGTTCAGTTTACGTGAATAACAAAACTTACAAGAATGGTAAACTCCCGGTGTGCTCAGGAGTGATTCCTGACGGTGCTTGTGGGATACTCTGTGGTGCTGGTTATCTTACTGGGTCCTGTGCAAGGCAAGTGCCTTATTTCTTGTGCTATCTCTCTATCCTGGGATGAGATTTCTAAAGTGTGGAACTTTATCCTGGGGTTCTGTTTAATATCTTGCACCAATTCTATGATGCTCTAACTTAAAATACTGGAATGACAGTAAGAAACGATAGGCTAGAAGCAGAGATGGTGATGTGATGAGCTTTCCAGCTTTGCTAATAGCTGTGTTGATTGAAACCATATTGGATCTCACCCTCCATAATAAGTTATCTTGAGGGGGCATCTCAGAGAACTCTAATACACCTTGTAAATAGCTAAGCTGAAGTAGGGGAGGGAGATGAATGCTGAGAGATAATAATGCAGGCCTTACTCCTAGCAGAAAGACAGTCCCAGACCCTGTCTCTCTACAAACATACTGCAGGCCTACATGGAGACAGTATTGTCGTACTTACTTAGTGGCCCATGGTTGCCCGCCATCCAGGGTGTACACGCTCTGCTAAAACCTAGAACCGAGGATCTAAAATGGGAACCCAAGCTGCTGCCCAGTTCAATGTGACCTGTGGCAACTTTGTGGCTGCCAAGCTCTGGTAACTTTGACCCTCCCTGGTTACCTGCTTAAAAGTCATAGTTGTTTCTGGGTAAATAGGATCTTCATCCCATGGTTTCTCACCAGTATCACTTTATCTAGACACAGATTTCCCAGAGACTCATGATCTCAAATACTGGTCACCATCCTGACCTTTTGGAACTAGTGCCACAGCCAGAGCTAGGCACTCAGTTGGCACCTAGACCCTCTAAAACACATCCAGACCCTTGTGGAGCACAGGACATTATGAGATGGATGAACTCATGATGGACCAAGATAGTAGCTCAGAGAGATGTCCAGATCCAGGAAGCCCAAAGTGTTCCAAATGGAATAAACCCCCAATACGATAATAGCACAAGCTTTGTGTGCAGGAGGCCTGGGTGTGTTCCCCAGCTCCAGGATTCCTCAAATACTTCTGGAAGGAATCCTTGGGTACGAAGCTTGGAATAAAATTAAACATTGCTGATCCAAAAGGGAAAAAAGCACCCCCCAACCTAAATAAAAGAGGCATACATCAAGATACATAATTAAAGTGTGGGGGGGGGAGGATTCTAAAATCAGCAAGAGAAGAGCAGAGTCACTTACAAGGGAAACTTCACAAGACTATCAGAACATTCAAAGTGTCATAACATATACAAAATGCTAAGTGGGAAAGATTTCCAACCAAGAATATGGTACTCAGCTTGATTGCCACTAAAATTTGAAAGAGGAATTTGAATATTCAGACAATCACCAGTTAAAGGAATTCATCATCACTAACCCTCCCACAAAGAATACTAAGGTACTTCTATTCAGTGACATTTAGAAAATTTTAAAATTCAGACATTGACATTTCAATGATAAAACTTATATTTCGTTCTTCAAGATATCCTCTGTTGAGATTACATGTATGTTTATAGCATGTTTTCTATTCCATTATTGAATGTAGTTAAAATAGATGTTTGATATTCTTTTGTTCAGTTCAGCATTTGGGTCAAGTGGGAGTTGATCTCTATAGATTTTTTTTTTGAAAATAAGACGTTTTAATTCTTTTGAATATTGAATATATTTGGATCATATTCCAGATATTTTATGTATTCTTTTCTGAATCTGGATTCTATTTCATTCCTCTAAAAATGTTTCTTTTTATTTCTATAAGAAAATTAAAAGTAAAAGCAAAATATAGACCAGAGGTATAATACAGTGGGTAGGAAGTTTGCCTGCACATGGCAGACCTGCGTTCAGTCCTTGGCATCCCATATGGTTCTGTGAGCACCTCCAGGAGTAATTCTTGAGTGCAGAACCAGGAGTATCCTGAGTACCCTGGGTGTGCCCTGCCCAAGATATATATATTGTAGCACTGTCCTCCCATTGTTCATCGATTTGCTCGAGTGGGCACCCATAACATCTCCATTGTGAGACTTGTTACTGCTTTTGTCATATCGAATACACCATGGGGAGCTTGCCAGGCTCTGCAGTGCAGGCGGGATGCTCTCGGTAGCTTGCCGGGCTCTCCGAGCGGGATGGAGGAATTGAACCCGGGTCAGCCGCGTGCAAGGCAAACGCCCTACCCGCTGTGCTGTCGCTCCAGCTCCATATTAGCATGAATAATTATATTAAACTCTGACCACTCTCCTATTCCCCTCCCCATTTTTTCTTATCTTGGCCCACTTTTTTGCTTTAAAGAATTTGTTTTATGTAGCACTGTAGCACTGTCCTTCCATTGTTCATCGATTTGCTTGAGCGGGCCCAGTAAATATATTATTTACCCATTTATTAAGCGGCCAACATGGCCGACCCGAGTTCGATTCCTCCACCCCTCTCGGAGAGCCCGGCAAGCTACCGAGAGTATTCGATATGCCAGACACAGTAACAACAAAGTCTCCAATGGAGACGTTACTGGGCCCGCTCGAGCAAATCGACCATCAACGGGAGGGCCTTTACCTTTTACCTTACCCATTTATTATTTTACTCTAGTCTCCTAATTTTTTTCAGTCTTTTAATGAAGGAAACTAATTTTAAATACTGTGTTGTTTGGGTCCAGAGAGATAGTACCAAGGTAGGGTATTTTCCATGCATGTGGTCAATGCAGGTTTGATCCCTACCACACATATGATTTCCTGAGCCCTGCCAGGAGTGGCTTCTGAGCACAAATCCAAGAGTTAAAGTCTTTGAGCACCAATGGATGTGTCCGCCCTTAGAAAGAAACAAATAAATATGACATTGTTCATATATGGATACTTGAAGTAAAGTCTTTTGTGTTTTTCTGATTTTTGGAAATTAAGAGAAAACATGGCGGCTGTCCTTCTCTAACATTGAAAAGAAAATATTGAACAATCATGGGGAGGCGAAGACCTGCTGTGAAAAGGAAGGAGAGAAATGTTGCAGGTAACTTCCATGCTTTCTAAATGTCAGTTTATTTATGCAATATGTAATTATTACTTGACTGAATACCTCAGAGAGCATTGCTTTGTGGAATCCCAGTTCAGGATGTGGCTGGATTGACCTGAGGTGTTAACTTAAAGGTGAGTAAGAAAACAGGGAAGCCAGATTCAAGGGACCAAATGAAGTGTTACTGGCATACCTGGTCAAGGACCATAGTCTTGAAATTGGATCGGATGTATGTGAACAGAATCACAGAGAGGTGTTAAACACTAACTGTGGTACCTACTTGAAATTATTTAGCTACGTTGAAGGCCAGTGACACACTGGCTAAACTTGTAAATATACTAAGAGATGCCTATTTATCTTCTCAGTAGCAGACACATCCTAAAGAGCTCATAGTGAAATCAGTCATTCATTTTGTTTCCTTCCCTTTCCTCCCTCCCCATTCCTTCCCTCTTCTCCCTCTACATAGAGACACAGTAAGTTCTCCCCTCTTTCCCTCCCTCTTTCCTCCTCAGAGGGTTTGTTTTTTTGGAGGGGGTCACACCCGGCAATGCACAGGGGTTACTCCTGATTCTGTACTCAGGAATTACTCCTGGTGGTGCTTGGGGGACCATATGGGATGCTGGGAATTGAACCCGGGTCGGCCGTGTGCAAGGCAAATGCTCTACCCGCTGTGCTATCTCTCCAGCCCCAGGGTTTTTTTTAAAATTTTTTATTGAGCTTCTGAGATTCTAAATTATAAATGGTTCAGTTCCAGAGACATCTCTGTAAGGAGGTATTCCAAGGTGGTTTGGAGAATTAGTCTCGACACTCACATGCCAGAGCCTTGCTTGTAGAAGCTCATGGTTGCCGGCTTCCATCTGCAGAAGGCGGGGAGACTGCACCTGCTCTATCTGGGGTGTCCCAGTGAAATCGGTTCGGTATGGGTCCCCAGAGGTTTTTAAAGCCTTCATAAGCCAACTTTTTTTTTATTAGTGAAACACCATGAGGTACAGTTATAGACTTACAATTTTTTGTGCTTGGGTTTCAGTTATACAATGATCAAACACCCATCCCTCCACCAGTGCCCATCCTCCACCACCAATGAACGCAGTAGCCCTCCCCCCCACCCCATTCCCCCCATCCCACCCTGCCTCTGTGGCAGGGCATTCCCCCTTGTTCTCTCTCTCTTCTTTTGGGTCCTGTGTTTTGCAAGAGTGGCATTGACTGGCTATCATGTTTGGTCTAGAGTCTACTTTCAGCATGCTTCTCCCACCCTGGGAGGATCCTCACAACACCCTTTTTTTGGTTCATAAGCCAACTTTGAAGCAGTAACAAAACAGATTTTAGCTGGGGATATAGTTCACTGGTAGAGTGCTTGCATCACTTATTCTGGCCTGTCTTTGAGTTTGATTCCCTGAACTAGAAAAAAAATTGCTAAAATCATAAAGGAGGGCAGGGATATAGCTTAGTGGTGCAGAACATGCCTTGTATGTTTGAGGCCTTGGGTTTGATACCCAGGCCCCCCACCTCACCCCCCACTCCCCATGATAAGGTTTGAAAAGAACAATACTTTGTTGGTAAGCCCAAATAATTGTGTGGGTTTTTTTTTTCTTTCGACTCTTGGACATCTGGGCTGTTGGTTCAAAGCAGGGGCCCGAGGACAAGATGCTGCTCAACCCAGCAGTGTCAGTGATTACCTGAATCACCCTGTCAGTGTTGGGGGCCTCTGATCCACACCGAGAGATGGTCAGGGACCATTGGGTCCAGGGATAGAAACTGGATTGGGTGCATGGTAGAAATGCACCCTAACTGTTGTACTATGTGTCAGTATATAATTTTCAAACATCTGTGTTTTATCAACTGCTAAATAACTGGATGAATAGCATTATTGCTGAAAGTCTTATAAAGCAAAACAACTTTTGAAAAATGAAAACGTTTTTCTAGGTTCTGAATTATTGACTAATGTAAATATGTTTGTTTGGGGACCACGCCCAGCTGTGCTCGGGGCTTACCCCTGGAGGGTCACTCGTGGTGGGTTCTGGGGACCACATGGGGTGCCAGGGATAGAACCTGGGTCAGCAGTGTGCAAGATAAGCTCCCGACCCAGTTTATTATCTCCAGCCAAAATATCAGTTTTATATAGTTGAATTGATTCTGATGAAATAAAATATCTCAACCAAAAATGAGGAGTACTTCTGAGACTTCAAAGCATATTTCTTTTTTTTTCTTTTTTTTGCTTTTTGGGTTACACCTGGCAATGCACAGGGATTACTCCTGGCTCATGCACTCAGGAATTACCCCTGGTGGTGCCCGGAGGACCCTATGGGATGCTGGGAATCGAACCTGGGTCGGCCACGTGCAAGGCAAACGCCCTTCCCGCTGTGCTATCGCTCCAGCCCCGCATATTTCGTTTTTTAAAAAATAATTTAGGGCCAGGGACAAAGCTCAGAGATCTGGGGCACATGCTTTGCATTCACACCAGGATTAAGGTTGAACCCTGGCACCCCAAACTCCTCTGGGTGTAGTCCTGGGGCTTCTGATCACTACTGGGGGTCCCCAGCCCTGCAGAACTCAGACAGCTCCACCTCCTCAGGTTCTTAGCACTGCCACGCACCCACCCCACCCCACCCCACCCCTGCTCCAAATCAGATTTGTGGAACTCTGCAAATATTTATATTAGTTGTCTGTCTTTATTGAGTTTTGCATTATTATATATTCTAAAATCTATATTGTTCATTGTGTGGTACGTATTTCCCCCTCTAAGTTGTGTAAAGCTTTTTATGTAAGAAAACAGTTGTAAACCGGAAAATGTCAATGATTCGCCCCCTTCTACCCCTCCCCAACAGGAAAGATTGTTTAAAATTAATGAAATACCTCCTGGAACAATTGAAAAGGAATTACGAAGGCCACGAGGAAATGGAGAACTTCTGTTCTTACCACATGAAAACGGCCTTCTTCCACATGTGCTCAACGTCCCCCTTCGACAATCAGTGGAAAGTCAGCAACGTGGAACTCTGCTTTGAGAACTTTGTGAAGCACTTTCTTCAGTGCCTCAAGACAAATCAGCTTCCCCATTATTTTATTCCTGACTTCAATCTCTTCTCTGAAGAACTCATCAACAAAGAAAGTCGAGACTTTCTTCACAAGATGATTGAACAAGAAATAAGCAATGGATTTCCAATTTTTAAACAAAATTTTGAAAGGAATCCAGAAGTGGAATAGCTTTATAATTATTTGAATTTTTTTTAAAAATTTTTTATTAGTGAGACACCATGAGGGACAGTTGTAGACTTACAAATTTTTGTGCTTGGGTTTATGGTTATTTGAATGTTTGAAATGTGTCATAGACTTGGTTGACTGCAGTGAATGTCAACAATGATTTGGCTTTTTGTAAACTTTGATCAGGATAAAATACTATTCTAGGCTCGCTTTTCAAGCCCATGTTCTTCCTTGAACACAAATCTCGCTTACTTGTCTCTTTCTTTATTGGCCTGTTTCAACCTGGAGAAGTCCGTGTTCTTTCTTGAACATATATTTCTCCTCTTTCTTGCCTTTTACATCTTTCTAAGCAAGTTTTGTTCGATAAAAACTATCTTGCTTTGGGGCTGGAGTGATAGCACAATGGGTAGGGCATTTGCCTTGCATGTGGCCGACCCGGGTTCGATTCCCAGCATCCCATATGGTCCCCCGGGCACCGCTAGGGGTAATTTCTGAGTGCATGAGCCAGTAGTAACCCCTGTGCATTGCTGGGTGTGACCCAAAAAAGCAAAAAAAAAAAAAAAAACCCAAAAAAACTATCTTGCTTCACCAAAAAAAAAAAAAAAAGAAATTCTAGATTAAGGACTAAAAAATATCTATATGTGTATGTACATATGTGTGTATATATTTTTTAAATTTAATTGAAAAATTAATTTTATTGAATCACAGTTACAAAGTTGTTCATGATTGGGTTTCAGTCCTGTAATGTTCTGACACCCATCCCTTTACTGATGTACATTTTCCATTTTCAATGTTCCCAGTTTCCCTTCTGCCTCTTCATAACCCCCCTATTTAAAAAAAAATTTCCTTTTAGTGATGGGGTTTGAACCAGAACCTCGCACATACATGGCAAGTGCTTTACCCCAGAGCTGCAATCGTGGCCCCCAACCAGGCATTTTCAAATTAGAAAATTGGACCTAGGATTTGCATGTCGCAGGCCCAGGCTGATCCCTGGCACCACCTGGTCTTTGAACAGCAACAGGAACAACCCACAAGCACCATGCCAGGCGGGTAGCCCCTGAGCGCTGCCAGGTAAACCAGAAGTAAGACAAAGTAAAATCTCGAGAAAACTCAGCAGGGCAGATGTCCCAGAGTACTGGAGGGCAGGCTTTGCGTCCAGAAACCTCAAGTGCAAACCTAGCACCATGCAGTTCTCAGAGCAAAGCCGCGATTGATTGCCAAACACTACATCAGGTGACTAAAAGACAAAAGAGAAAAATTAGCAGAGAAGTTGATCAGCATGGAATGAAAATGATATCTGTCACCTGAACTGAATGAATCAAGCACTTAGTGAAAACTTTTCAACTAGCACAGTTCTCATGTTTGCGAATGACACTATTAGGAAGTTTGTGAAAGACACTACTACCAATGATTAGCACCTCCATGAAACTGTTACACTTTGATGTGCAGTGTACAAGTGTATTCTGCGGTTTCCTGTCCAGGTGATAAGACACGTAAGAAGGAAATGTAAAAATAAATTATATTGTCTCAGGAGATTCATAATTTTATAAGAAAATGTAGGGTAAGTAATACTAGACTAGAAAATTGAGCTTACTTTTTTATGTTAAGGAACAATTTTATGTAAAGAAAAAGTGTTTTGAAAATGTCATTTTTTAATAATATAAGGGAAGATGTTTCCAATCACATGAAACAAAATGTTATCTGAGAACTTATTTTCATTTTGTGTTGTTTGCTTTAGCTGTACTTCCATGATGTTAACTGGTGACATATTGTATTTCTCAAAAGCATTAGATTCCCAAAGTTTTTTTTTTTTTAATTTTTATTAGTGAAACACCATGAGGTACAGTTGTAGACTTACAAATTTTTGTGCTTGGATTTCAATTATCCAACGATCAAATACCCATCCCTCCACCAGTGCCCATTTTCCATCACCACAGGTCCCAGTATCCCTCCCACCCCCCACCCCCCATCCCACCTTGCCTCTGTGGTAGGGCATTCCCCTGTGTTCTCTCTCTCTCCTTTTGGGTGTTGTGGTTTGCAAAAGAGGCGCTGAAGATTCCCACAGTCTTAAACTAAAATGGGCATGAAATAAAATTTTAGCTTTTTTTTTTGTTTTGTTGTAGGCAACTGCCTCGTATTCATATTATTTTGCACATTTTTTGCTATTTTGTTTTTCTCATTCTCTTATAGAATTTTTAATATATTTTGAATACTTAACCTTTGTTATCTATCACACATTTCTCTCACTTTATATTGCCTTTATCATCTTTATGTTTTTAATAAAGCAAATGTTAAGATTTTAATGTAGGGGGAAAAAGATTTTAATGTCGGTGATCAGTCTTCTCTATGATTTGTGCATTTTATGTAAATTGTTTCACAACCTACTATATTTGAACATACTAAGAGACTTTGGGAAGGTTTGGGGAACTCTTTGGACTCATGCATGAATTACTCTTCTGATCAACCTGTAACAGTGACATGGAATATTGCCAAGCAGGGAAGCTCACGTGAGCCTCTGTGTCCAGGAGTTTTACTGAAGCTAAGTGGTAGGCTGCCATCTTGTCTAACCTATATCTGAAATTCAGGCTGTCTGAGCTGGAAGTAGTGAGCCCCAGGACTCCCAACATAAATCCCACTGTTAGACTTTCTGACATGTTTCAATGCACACCTCTCTGGGTTGGGTTCATTTCTCTCCTGCACAGATATAAGTTGCAGAAAATGGAGTCAGAGGGTGCCTCCCCTGAGTTTGAACATCACAGATGTGAACACTGAATTATCAAAAAAAAAAGTTGGTTGGCTCTTAACAATAAAACTGCAATAGACAACATCAAATATGAAAATTCAAGAAAACAGTTATGTAGAAATGGATTAAAACTGAAATGGTTGCATCTTGGAGATGTAGGGTAGAAGAGCTGAAGGCTACTTTTTACAGGCTAGCCATGTAGAACCTTTTGACTTGGATTACTTGCCTATAGGATTTCAATAGAAAATGAAGAGATGTTTCAGCGTATATTCCCAGGTTTGTAATAAGTTAGATAAGTTTTTCTCTGACTTAAAGTTTTTTGCCTTTGATATTCTGGATTTTCATTATGATGTGAATCAGTGTGTGTTTTTATTTATTCTGCATGAGAGCCATTAAGTTTCTTGGTGCTGTGGATTCTTTTCGTTATCTTTTTCAACATTATCATTATCTTTTCAGGTGTTGGCCATGGCCCAATTTCTTGCTTTCATTTGGGGTTCCAACTGAATGTATGTCAGAACTTATGACTGAATTTTGTATAATGTACTACTGTTGTACTTTCTTTTTTTTTTTTTTAAGCTGGAATAAAGTCATGAGACATTTATTTTTTGTGTATATAAATTTCATTCCTTAGGGGCTTTGTATAAATATATAATTCCTTGAATGATAATTTTTTTTTTTTATTGAATCACTGTGGGAAAGGTTACAAAGCTTTCAGGTTTATGTCTCAGTCATGCAAATATCAAACACATTTCCCTTTACCAATACTTATTTTTTACCATGAAGAACCCCAATAAAACCCCACCCCCCACCCCTCCCCGTCCCTGTGATGCAGATGAATTCTAGTTAACACTCTATCTGCTTTGATTAGATTCATTGTTTCAATAAAAGATTCACCACTATTATTTAGAGTTTACCCCCACCCCCAAATCAGACATGCTGAAAAAGCATTGTGAAGTGATTTGCTTTCTACAGCTGGGTTCAAGAATTAAATGTTGGTTTTGGATTTCTGCTATTTTACCTATTGACCCTGGAAGTATTTCTACTGAAAGTCAGATAGTTAAGAAATTGGTTTCTGTGTTCTAGAGTCGTGGCCGTGCTGGAGAGCCGCTCGCGGGGGGCAACCGGTGGCCTCAGTAGGGCGTGAAGGGCGGAGCGAAACGCCCCCCCTTCCCATGAGGTTTTAGTCGCCCCCACACTCCCGGCTCATACCTGCTGTCCACAAGGCTCCCATGTGGCCGCCATCTTTCTTTCCAGAGAGGAGAGGGCGAATGGGGCAACACCCTTTCCCCTCCAGCAGACTTGATGGGCTGGATCAACGCATAGTCCGTTCACTTTTCTGCTCCAAGCTGCTGGGTTCTGCATTAAGTCCTTGTGCTTCTGGGGCCATGGCCGTGCTGGAGAGCCGCTCGCGGGGGGTGACTGGTGACCTCGGTAGGGCGTGAAGGACGGACCGGAACGCCCCCCGACCCATGAGGTTTTAGTCGCCCCCATTCCCCCGGCTCATACCTGCTGTCCACAAGGCTCCCATGTGGCCGCCATCTTTCTTTCCAGAGAGGAGAGGGCGAATGGGGCAACACTCTTTCCCCTCCGGCAGACTTGATGGACTGGATCAACGCATAGTCCGTTCACTTTTCTGCTCCAAGCTGCTGGGTTCTGCATTAAGTCCTTGTGCTTCTGGGGCCGTGGCTGTGCTGGAGAGCCGCTCGTGGGGGGTGACTGGTGACCTCGGTAGGGCGTGAAGGACGGACCGGAACGCCCCCCTTCCCATGAGGTTTTAGTCGCCCCCACACCCCCGGCTCATACCTGCTGTCCACAAGGCTCCCATGTGGCCGCCATCTTCCTTTCCAGAGAGGAGAGGGCGAATGGGGCAACACCCTTTCCCCTCTGGCAGACTTGATGGCCTGGATCAATGCATAGTCCGTTCACTTTTCTGCTCCAAGCTGCTGGGTTCTGCATTAAGTCCTTGTGCTTCTGGGGCCGTGGCTGTGCTGGGGAGCCGCTCGTGGGGGGCAACCGGTGACCTCGGTAGGGCGTGAAGGACGGACCGGAATGCCCCCCTTCCCATGAGGTTTTAGTCGCCCCCACACCCCCGGCTCATACCTGCTGTCCACAAGGCTCCCATGTGGCCGCCATCTTTCTTTCCAGAGGGAGGAGGGCGGAAGGGAGCAACACCCTTTCCCCTCTGGGCAGAAATGATTGCCTGGATTAACGCATAGTCCTTTCACTTTTCTGCTCCAAGCTGCTGGGTTCTGCATTAAGC